AATAGGATTCTTTATTCGTCGCACATTCGCAGGTATACATTCCCTCCCCCTTCCTCCCCCGCCCAACTGCCAACCCTATTTCAGAAAGACGCACTCGGCAGTTAGACCTTTCCTTTTGACCGGTCTATATAGTCACTACAAAGTAGAATTCTACTTTTTTCAACATGGAGACTTTTACTTAGTCTTTTTAATGTCACACTATTCATTTAATGCTCTTATACATTATCAATATTGGAGGTGCTTGCCATTATACGTCTCATAAACGAACTAATTTCTAATTTCATTATTTGTTTACAAGCTAATCGTACGAGCGTGAGAATGGGATATAAATCGGAATTGTCTAGAAATATCGCTTGCAGGCGGATGTGACTACTTTTTTCTGAAGCTTCCACTGTGCTCGGCATTACTAATAGGGATGTTTCGGAAATGACAAGCTCCATGTCCAAAGGAATTTTTCGGTCCGGAGCAAGTTGGTCGAGATGTTGGATAGGCTTTCTATTCAAATTGATTTTATGAAGTTTTTCTTTGAAATCTCTTTTTTCTTGATGGCCGTTTCGTTGTTTTGTTGAATTCACCCGAAGCAGTGAGAACGTTCATTGAGGCATCCCTCGGCAGAGGGACGCTGTGGTCGATAATGATATTCGTCCTGCCTTTGTGAAGAATCGTCGAAATTGTTATGGACTTGTCACGTAAGCTGTCGCGAAGAAATGAGGTCTTAAAAATTATCTCAATTGTTGTGTTGAACAGCAATCGATATGTAATCAACTATCCCAGTTAATTTGGACAGCACAGTGAATTCATTCAGAATCGCGACTTCCGGGGCAACCCCTTTCGGGACGCTTTCTCCTACACTGCACTCGTATTCATGCCCGAACTACGCTCTTTGTCTCGTTACACTCTTATTATCCCCCTTCTTTCAAATAATTCGGCCACCTTGATATGAATGCAATGTGGGTCTAACAACTTCTTCTGAAAGTGTAAATAGTTTGTACTTGCCTAATAGTTGTGGTATGTTATGTAGTTCAAGAATTTTGCGGTTTCACCCATATGTGTCCTATAGAAAGATGTCCTCCCATAGGTGATTTAGCCGTGTAAGCCTTCATAATATATCCCATTAGGCTAGGACAAATTCACCCAAACAAGCGTGTTTGGTTTGGTTGAATAACACGATATCGGGGGAGCATGGGACACAAATATGTGCAAAGGTGAGGGTCGGGCCGTCCAACTTGGGGATGGTTACGAAGTATAGTTGTGTGATGATGTCCCATGGATAATTTATAGGACAGCAGTAACTCGATCGGGACTGGAGCCATTTAAGCAGTGCTGTAGTGGTGCCCGTTGAACTCTAACGCTCACCCTCACCTTTTCAGACGAAATATCTTTAAAATAAGTGTGAGTGGTAGAAAGGTGCAGGAATTCTTGCAAACAACCTGATTTTGTGGCTCTACAATTAAAGTTGTTGCCTTGCGGTTCCACTTCAAGTTATCCTAACTTGCATCCAAACCGAGTTAGGTTTTCATTACTGCATTCAGTTTCCCATTGGAATGGGCCTTAGTGACTACTGAGTAGCAGTTGACGCTTTTAGGTCGGTCTTGAAAAGTTTTTTTCAATGGTTTCTGCAACAAAATGTCTTTTGGGTGGATGGCTGGAGGTTCATTTCAGAATCTGGACTGATTGAGTCATTTGTCTGCCTAGCACGGCGAAGAGCCTGCCATTGATTCGTAGTCTTAAATACTTTAGGTGGCATCGGTCGAAAACGAGATTCTAGGGCCCTTCGCGTCCACAAAAGGGTATATTAGATTAGGGTCCGAAAGAAATTACATGCTTATCGTTAGCGCCACTTTACCATTCAATTTCTTCCAGTAAACTCTACCTGAATCCACCTTGACGAGAACAACTGCTCCACGCAGCATTTGGGCCACGACTGAGAACTCGGGCTTAAAACAGATTAGTACATGCCCATAAGCGGCTTAAATGCACGTACTTCAAGTAGTGTCTGTTCTACGTCAACAAATTACTCAAGCTGTTATCTTCTTTTACGTAAAAGAGTCCTCCTAGTAAGCGGAATACACGGGGATTCCTGCTCCATTATAGTCTCTGAAATCCTATCGTTAATTGTCGTCTTCCTTAGGCGCACTCCAACTACGTTCCTGTTTTATCCTGTCAACAGATTAGCTGGATGAGTATTACTTGTTTAAGAAGTGTGGGAAGCTCCCATCAAGTGGGTCACCCTATCATGACATATCAAGTGAATCGTGACATCTCTAGGCCAATCCGATATGAGCCCTCTAGGTTATACTCTTTTTGACACTTCAGGTCATCTAATCGTATCATTGTAAATGTAGACCGCTCTTATACTCGTATCTCTGATGTTTCTGAAGGTTTTAATCCATAGTGACCTTATAGAAGAACTTGGACCCTACGTGACTTTATGGTGGGAGTAAAATGTAATAGACGCATATATTCACGGGAAGCATATTTCATTCTACGGTTATTTTAATGCATACATCCTCTTCCCGCCGCATATGCGACGCATTGAAAAAAGGACACGAGACGGGTGGATGGGGCAGTCAATTGGTTGTGTTGCGTCATAACCAGGTGTTCAAGTCAAGACCCACAACCGGTGTACTGTATGGCTCAGATTTCCGTTTTAAATATTCGCTTGTTCGACCTCTCCCGCAACTTCACTTACTTAACATCGGCGAGTACTATCTTCCATCTTTGGTCGAAGTTGTAAATTGTTACTAGCCTCACTATTGGTTAACTTTTACTCTTAAGGCTGTCCGCATTTTCATTTGGTGCTTTACTGATCTAGTTGTGGATTTAGTTAGTAGTTATTCATCTCCGAAGTAAAGTCTCAAGTCAAGAGGAAGGATTGAATGGCGATGCGTTCAGTCATACTACTACTTTACATCCCTTATGTATAAGTTGGTATTGCTTCATTTTATAATTTTTGTCTTTTATGTCCTCATTCCAATCATTCTTTTGTTGTTTGTGTCGAATGTAATTGGTGTTGTTTTTTGAGCGTCATATTTGCATCAACAACTCAAAAAACTGACGTACTTTATAAAATTCGCCATTATTACAGGACTATACGCATCACAGTATAACTGTGTACAGAAACCGGGCACCCTTCCTTGTGGGATGCGCAGCGGGCTTTCAATATACTTACTGATACTGCTGTGTAGTCTTCGAGGACTCTGTGGTGAAGAAGACGTGTTTAGCTCTCCATCCGCGCCAAAGGTTGTTTTTTTGGATATTATTTTTACTGTTTTTTTTTCAGTTTTAAAGATTTGTAATACATATAATATGCTATTGCTAGACTGATATGATGCATTATTTTGGATTATACGAGTTATGGAGGGTTTTGCTTCCCAACTTCGAATTATTGCAATATCGATCCATCGTATCGACTACAGTAGTAGTGATAGTAACCTTAATAGTAACCAAAAGGCTGTTGGCACAAGCATTGAATTAACTACCACCTCAATGTTAGTTTCGGGGCATATTGTTGTGGGTCCATTTGGAGCAGGAATAAAGCGTTCCAAAGAAAGCGGGGCTGTGTAAGTGCAGTTGCGTTGAATGAGTGGGAGTGTGTAGGATGAATGTAAATAAATAAACAAATATATGCACTTCTTGGGAGGGGTGCGAAGCTAAGAGTTGTGTCAGTTTACTCGAATCTTTGGAGGAAACAGTTTGGAAAGAGATCAGATTTAAAGTTGAAGAAACAGTGGGAGGAAAAAGCGGTCAGATGATGTTGAGCTGCTTCAGAGGGGAGAGAGGGGGAATAAATGAATCCAAGGTAGTAATTGAACTGATTTCACTCCCCCAAGCCATATAATTTAGAGGATGAGCTAGAAGAGGAAAAACCGTCGGTTTCATAGCAACGCGTGACTCTTCTTAATACGCCTATCTGTAGGTGATGTTCTAGCAATCCTTAACTTTGCTTGTCTTCACATATCGTCTGTCTTCATGTTCTTCCTTGTATACGAATCGGTTATAAATATGTTTCTATATAGAGACTACAAACTCGAAATATTGAGAGGTGAGGAGCAGTTTGTATGGTTGCAAGGCCTGAAAGCTGCTCTTTTTATTCTGCCGATCCATGGAGCATGTTTCCTTTATTAAAAAGGGAGTAGTATTTTTTAGCTATGCGTTGAATACCTCAAATTTGCTTGAGAAATTTGTCAGGACCTATTTAGGGCACTATAGTTTTTCACCATGGATCTCTCTCAATTTTTCATTCATACCTTTTCAAAAGAATTCTCGCTCTACTTTTAGCCTTTGTATCCTTCGCTGGTGTGGCCGGTTGAATAGACATGTTGGCATAGTGATTTGGCCCATGAATAATGTGTTCGTTGTGTAAATGCGCGTGTAAATGTGAAGTGGAGTAAATGTAGGTAAAATCTGAAAAAGCATAGTTGGTAGAAAACTTTTTGTTGTTATGGATAGATTTCCATTCTTTAGTAACAGCATAAATTCCGTGGTAGCCTTCAAGACAATCTCTGAGCTCGGAGGTTGCATAAAAGGTTCACCTGAGGGGTCTCTTTTAAGAATAAGATCGTAATTTTTAGAAGAGTTGCAGACTTTTACTACTAGGAAGTTGTGTAATGGTTAGTTAGTCGTAAATGGGCAATTAGCTCTACATTTAGCTGATGTTTCGTATTGATACGAGGATTGGTGACGTATATCTGTGGCTGTGGAGAAGCAAGAAAGGTTTGAAACAATTTAGGGAAGAAAATGTTGCATCTTCAAAATCTTTGGTGTGGTTCCTACCCATGTTTACACACGACAGCTGATTCTTTTGGGTTTCAATTGTTTCCAGTTTCTACGTCCTCTCCCTAATATGTCAATGTCTGAAGAGTTGATTTGAACGGGTTAATTGCGTGTTCAGTAAAAACTATCCCGTCTAGTCAAGCTGTCGGAACTGGCCATCGTCTCGAACGAGGCCCTATGATGAATGAAGTTGCTATGATTGATTGTATGTCACGTCGTTGTAGGCGTTTGAGGCTCCTCGCTCGATTAATGTTATCACGTACGAGAAGGAGGCGATCATCTCCGGCAGCCGGATCGAAAACATAGAAGGAGGAGAAAATGCTTTTCAGGGTTATACGTAAGTGTTCATTAATTTGCTATTTCTCTTAGTTTATTCCCCTTTTCGAGGTATTACATAAGTGAATTTATGAGTGTTTTGCAAAATTGCTTGTATTTATTCAGGAGACGTGGTGCAAGTATTGTATTGCCCGACCACACTGTTCGAGTCGTGCTGTTTGGAATATGGCTTGAAGAGCTTCAAACAGTAAGAAATCTCTTGAATTAGTTTTTTTTTCTTGAGATAACCATTCTAGATTTTGTTTAGGTTGCTTTCACAACGACAGACAATTGTTCTGCAGCCTCCCTTGTTTTTGAACAAGTAGATTTTGCTTCACAGTCCGACAAACGTGTTGTACTCGAAGCTAACTTTCCTGAGTACGATCATGTTTTCTTTTATTCCATTATTCTTTTTTCCATCCGCTGATTTTTTCATGATATTCAGTGCTTATTCGTTTTAGCATTCCTCTCGGTGAATTTTATCGGTTGTGCATTAAGTCGCGTCCCAAATACAATCGTTTTCCGGCAGAATATGTGCAGGTGAATTTGTCGGCTTTCTATTTATTCAACTTTTTATTTCGTATTTTGACTTTTATCACTTTTCTTCCGTGTCAGTTCTCGCTTTTTTCGCCTTGAAGAGATTTTTGCAGTATTGATTTTTTTGTTCTAAAGTATTGAGGCACCAGTAGATTTGGAAGGCAAACATCTAGATTTATTCTGATCCCAAAAAGTAGTAACTAACAAGAAAATTGTGCCTAAATAGCATAACAGAAGGTAAGGAAAAGCATCGCTCGTTTGTTGAGAACTCTACTCTTGTATGTGGTATATTTTTATATTTGACTTGTGGGTATTTGTGGTGAAAGCCACATAGTATCCCTATATCTCCAAAGAAATTTGTGTGATTTCCACCTAGTTCCTTTGGGATCAAGTAGTACTTTTCGTCAGCTTATATAATAGTATAAGGTGTGCTAGACAAGGGCATTTCGTCGATTCCATCACATTCTTTGGTCGAAGTAGTTCAGGTTTTCCTCCCAGAGCTACATTCTTCATTGTTAACTAACAAGCTTTTGCATTCATTATGCTAAGTTCTTTGGTCGTTTCGTAGTGGCCTACTCAGACTTTCGCATTTGGTGCGAATCGTCTCCTAGCAACCTCTTTGATCGCGGCCTTTTGTTGTATGAAACTCGGGTTGTCCCGGAAAACGCTTTCACTGGTAGTGAGGGACTTCTGCAGGTGTGTCTATCCAAGTAGGGAGAATTGGGAAGCTAGGAACTTCAATAACATTCTGTTCTGGTAGAGTATTTTGAAGGATATTTTAATTATGCTTGGTAATTAATCGAGCTGGCAATGTTTTTTTTTCTGAGATATTCTATCTTTACCGTCAGAGGTCATAAAAAGTGTTTTTCAAAGAAATAATGTGAAAACTCGATCACACTCCGTGCCCAGATTTTTTTAGGTTTGCAGTATGGTGGAATAATTTGTGACGATCAAAAATCATGAAAATAGACTAGTCTTTCTGACTGATATCAAAGTTTTATGAAGCCAAGCTGGAACGCAGTCCCTCATTTTCTATTCTATCTTTCTTATGGGAATTGAGCAGATTGTGAAAATCTTTTACAGTGTTCTGAAAGAATTTTTTAGGTTTCGGAATTTCGAACTCGAATCTCCACTGAAGTTCCGCCACGTCAATATTATTTCCCTTTGTGGATTCAGGTATGCGTTATCATGTTTCATCTACTGCTTTGTTTGATTATTTTTTTTTGCCTTCTTTGATTGATAGATGGCTTGAAATATGTAGATAGGCTTCGCCCAATTGGTTGAACAATTTCTCATCGCTGAGACACATAGACGCTCGGCGACAATTTGAGTGTTCAAACAGACCTTAGCTTACATTTGTTTTTGTTCGCCGGTGGCGCATCCCTGGGTGTATAATAAACAAATAAATAAATTGGGGGTGATGAGGGGCGAGTGACTGATTGACCAACGGATCTGATCGTACACGAGAGGCTTTGTCGGTTCGTCGGTTCTATGGTCGTAACCTCTTCACTTTGCTGAGAAGTCGGTCATAGTCGTTAACAATTGGTCGTCCGGACGTCTGCCGTCATCGAACGTCTATCTCCAGAATGAAACAAATTGAATAAACGACAAATGGTCCTATGGTTAGTGAGGTTTTATCCGAAAGCTCATTTTGAAGACAGTGGAACGTGCACTGGAACCATGGCACTAATGACAGAAGGCAATTGTTCTAAGTTGATCTCTCGATGATCGCGACATGGGAAGCGTTTGTAATCGATTTGGTTATACTGGTGGTAACTCCGGGATTGTTCCAGAATATTGTGATGACCCGAGGGTGGCCCATTTTCTACCAGAGAAACGGCGACACATGAATTTGTATCTTAAGTCTTTCGCATCGTCCTAATAATAGAGTATACTTGATAACCCTCACCTTCATTGGGTACTGTAATTAAGCTATCTTGATTTGTACTCAATAACCAGCATTTATGTATTAGAATTCACTCTGTCTTTCTGTTAATCGGATTTAATAATCCCTAAAAATTTCAGTAAATGGTTAAACTACTAAAATGGTTTATGGCGCGTCTGGAAGGCTCATATAACGTTTCTGTTTTTATCAGTTCCGTCATCCATTTGTTTTTTTTTTCAGGTGATAATTATAGCATGTCTTCTTGTTCTATCTGGTCTCTTTTCTGGTCTCAATCTGGGTCTTATGTCTCTGACTCCTCAAGAGTTGATGCTCATTCAAAAATCAGGTAATTCAAAGTTGACTTTGGCCTTCGGTCTTTTTCTGTGGTTTTGAATTGAGATTGCGTTCTGGATGCGAGAAGTGGCTCTGTTTTTTCATCATAATTTATCCAGAAATAGTAGGCTTGTCATGCAATAGTCGTAGTCCCTCAATTAAAAGACGGTGACAGCTAATGGTTTGTCAAAATGACAGTTAAAATGTAATGTTCTGAATGAGTTGTAGAAAGGCTAAACTTTTTCTGAAAACTTGAATTTTTCTTCTTTACACCTGTTTCAGTGTTATCCGTATTATACCTATCCTTGTACTTGTTAAGGGTCGAAAGCTGAGCGAAAATATGCTGATGTCATCTTACCAGTTCGTACGCGTGGAAATCTTCTCCTTTGCTCACTTCTCATAGGTGGGTTTATTTAAGTTGGATTGCCTCGTAGTTGATTTTATTCCATCTAATTCATGTCAATTGTCTTAGGTAATGTTTGTGTGAATTCGGGTATTTCCATTCTCTTGGATGACCTCACTTCTGGTTATGTGGCTTTGATTGCCTCATCTGCTGGTATTGTGGTGTTTGGTGAAATTTTCCCTCAGAGTTTATGTGTCAAGTACGTCTTTCTTTCGTTTTCTTTTTTTAATACCATTTATTAGAACATTAGTTACTTATATTTCCTATTGAATCGTTTTTTTTTTTTTGAATTTACAGTGTTCTGCTGTGATTTACTTCACGGAATTAAGGACGCCCGCTTCATAATTCGGTTGTGAATATGCGAGTTGTATATAAGAATGGGATTACTAAGAACAAGGATTTGACTCTCGTAACCATGTAAATTTCGCTTGGAGTTAATCCGTATGTGACCGGGAGAGTACGTCTGGCTGGTCATATACTCTAGTGCTTGGCTAGATGTAAGCTTGGGAGGAGTTTCTTGACCCTCACAAAGTTTACTTTTTGAATTGTTATGTTTGGGTGAACATTTATGTAGCTAGTGTGGGGTTTTATTTGGATTGGATGAAATTGAGCTGGCATAGACTAGACCTTTTCCATTGCTGTTAGTTACGTTTATGCTTATGCGTTTAAGAGGCGCGTCTTGAAAAAGTTTCCTAAAGCTTATTAATTTCGAACAATGCAATACTGACAAGTATTGAGGGACTAATATTCTGTCTTATGATTTTTTTATCTTAAACTAAGGATTTCCTGTTTGCCATTCAATATCTAAATATAATGATATGATAGGAAAAAGTCATGAATTTAATGGTGCTAAAAGTGAAGTGCCCGAATCGGCCCTCGGTATAGTTGTCACTTTTGGTTATGTACTATTTTACACGGTCTGTTAGCGAAATCTTGCAATCCTAACGATTTCATGAGTGAGGCATGCAGTAGAAGCTGGAATGGAATCGAATTGTTCGTCGGCATTTAGGCTTAATTGCAATTTTCTCGTTGTGCTGAAACTTCGCCGAAACATGCTGGGCTGGGAGTTGTTCCCCCAATCTCATCAGTTTTTCTGTACCCAACGAAATTTCCCTTTTCTTGGATTGTGTGGGGAAAGGAAGAGGGTATTATAAGCGTAAAAGCACCTATTTTCCCGTAATAATTAGAATTGACTAGTCTGAACGGTACAGGAATTAAGGTCTACTGACCATGCTTGCGAAAACGGTACCTTTGCCATGCTAATATACATATTTGTTCGAAAAAAAAAAGACTGCTACTTGGCTGTATTCCTGGCGTTTTGATGCTGTGGTTCAACCAGTTCACTTGATTTTTTGTAGGAAAGGCTTAGCAGTCGGTGCGTATACAATTTGGGTTACGCGTTTCTTCATGATTGCTACGTTTCCAATAGCATTTCCAATTTCGAAGGTGAGTACATCGAAATGGATGGAGGTTAGTGTTAATTGCGGAACTTCGGTATAATTTTGCTTTTTTTAAGGTTCTGGACTTTGTTCTGGGCGAGGAGGTAGTGTCATATGATCGCAAGCGTCTCATGGAATTGATCAAGATGAGCAACGAAGAAGGATTGGTTGAAGAACTGAAAATTGCAGTTGGAGCAATGGAAATAAGCGACAAAACAGTGGCTGATGTGATGACACGCATTGATGTGGGTCTTCAATTTTGATTGGTTTCGTTTTTTTCAAGAACGAAAATGTAGCCACGTTAAAGATTTTGATGGATACTGGGGCCTAGCAGTTTCCTAGAAGAATTGTTTTCGGGTAGTTGCTCGCCTAAACTCATATCGTAACTGTAATTTTCTCAATTTGACTTGAGACTTGTCTTCGCTGCTCGGATTTGGCAGATCGGCATTTGTTGTCCTTAGATTAATCATGAGGCAAGGAATTTCACATGACACCGTCAGAATGAGCTATGTGGCTGCTTTCATAGTCCGCGATTCGGCCCGCGAGCGTGCGACCGGGGGCTACTTGTCCGGCGGTATCGACCAAGATACAGTTGTAAACAAGGGCAAGCGCCGCCCACGGTCGTTCGCTCGCTCGTGCGCTCGCGTGCCGAATCGCGGACTATGAAAGCAGCCTGTCATTACTGTCGGACGGCATGCAAATGTTTTGCGGTACGGCTGAGAGGAGGTAGGGGGTTTGAAGAACGTCCAAATCATCCGATTGGAACCCACCTCTATTGTGCTCCTCAAAAGTACCCTCGAAGTCACTGTTAGTATTTGTGATGTATTTTTAAAATCAATATTTGGAATTAAACGTTTTTCAGGATGTCTTCATGTTGCCGAATACTACTGTGCTGAATACCAAGACGGTGGCGGAAATTCTTCGAATGGGATATACTCGTATACCAGTTTTTTGTGGTAAATTGCATTTCATTGAACTTATTCGTTGAAGTTAACTGACTTGCTGACGTTATAGGTGACCGTAACAATGTAGTATCACTTCTATTTGTCAAAGATCTCGCTCTCTTGGATCCGGATGATAACTTCACCATACAGACCGTATGTGGTTATCATCAGCATCCTCTCCGTTTCGTCATGGAAGATACACCTTTGCGCGTTATGTTGGAAGAATTCAAAAAGGTTTTTTTTTTATGCAAAGCGATACAAGTTGTCAACAGTGCTGAAATTGATATTATAGGGCGACTACCATTTAGCCATGGTTCAACGTATTGTTTCTGCTGAAGACAGTGATCCTACCTACGAACTCGTTGGGGTTGTGACACTTGAGGATATCGTTGAAGAAATTCTCCAAGTCAGTTTGAGATGATTTTTTTTTCCGGAAGCAATGCCTCATGTGCGCTGTCTCATTTTATCGTGACGCTGGCCTTGCTTGCCTTCTTGGGGAGGGTCTTTATTACCGGTCATGAGCAGCCGAACCTTCAAATTGTCATACTCATTGCATTGACGATTACTGTATGTCAAAAAGAATGAATTTGGTAGGTAGTACTCCAGGGACTATGCAGGCGTGCGTTTAAACTTTAGCCATCGTGCTACCTTCGGTCATTCTATTATTGACAGAAATTACCTTCTAGTTATGCTTTGCACAGTTCTACTCAGTTTTTTCTTTCCTAAAACCAACCTGAATGTCGCCACATAGCCTTTAATCACCTTTCCCCTTTCATTTCTATTTTATTGTAGTGAAAGCGGTGATTTTGATTTAGTTTCTCTAAATAGTTTCGTTTACAAAGAGGCATTCATGGTTTTCATTCAGGCGGAAATTGTGGATGAGACTGATGCTGTGATGGATAACGTACACAGAACAAGGAGGCGTGGTGCACAGGTGATCATTGCACTATTCATATATGCTGTTTTTTTATTGTGAATGGACTAAACCCGGTCAGATACCTACATGGCCCGGAGCCTTATAATTAGGGTTAGCGATAGCATCAGAGAAAAGTTTCTTTCTTTGTTAGTACATTCATTTACTAGAAAAGCTTGCATTTTTATCGAGTACGGACCCATCACCCGTTTAACAAAGGCTATCTCCTCTGTCATACAGGCAACTAGGACCCTCCTTGCTCAAATTACTTTTAAAGATTCCCTGTTTATTATCCCTTGACACATCTGCCATGCAAAGCTGAGCTTGCTAATCATCTGTAATTAATGTGTAGATTTGGAATGCGCTTGGGTAGATGCCTTAGTTTAAAAATATTTCATGATCGGATATTTATGATCCACAATGATCGAATTCAATGGTTGAGAAACTTTGTAACAATTAGCCGCATCTTTTAAAGTTTTAATTTATATTGCTACAGTCGTTTCAGGCCCAAGATTTGTCTTGCTTCGTGGATACAGATGAACCTTCTCGTGTAATTAGTGTCCAGATGCAACTAGTGACCATGCAATGGCTAACAACAAATCACAAGGCCTTCAGTACTGATCTGATCAGTCCGTCGGTATTGGAGAAGCTGATCCGTCAGCACTGTCGCCGTGTACGTTGAAATTGATCTCTATGGGGAATTGATTGGTTCAAGAGTGCAGTCGTGGCATGTCCTGGCCATGGTTCTAGTCTAATTTAAGTCAAACAGGAGAAATGTTGCAGGGACGTCTTTCGTATATGATTTAGTATTGATCTAATATTCGAAAAAAGTTTTTCGTGTTTGTTATTTGGGTGGGCCTGCAGGGCCGATAGCTCACGATAGAGCTTAAATTCACAACAATTATTTCCAGGTAGAGCTTTCTCATCTTCCTGATATGTATGAGCCGAAGGCTGTGGTTCCCCGGACTGCCAAACTCTACACTAAGCAAGAATATTCGGAAAAGTTCATCCTCGTATTGGAGGGTCGAGCGTTAGTCACAATTGGGCAGGTTCATTTTTTTCTGCTCGGGTTCACTGTTCAAATCTGATTAAGTTTGTACTGTTTCGATTTTGAACACTCATACATAGCTTTCCTAGTTTAGTTTTTATTTATTTTCGTTATATTTTGTTTCTAGATCGATTGTATTGGTTTTTTAATAGGACGAGATGATGTTCGAGGCAGGGCCATGGTTTGCGTTTGGAACGGAAATGTTGGAACGTTTGGTGGCCAAACGCGAATGTGATTCTCGTGCATTGGGCGATGTGGAACATTCCAGAAACTCTCTCGTCAGTGATACGTCAAAGGTATTGCCGTTGTTCAGTGAACTCTGGAGGCTATTAAGCTTTAGATTATTCACGACCCTGCAGTCGCCTGCAGCTTTGCGTATCCTATGATAATTAATGAAAAACTGGAAGTACATTGCAGAAGCTTGGATTCATTCCGGATTACA